AGCCGCCAACTCCCGCCTGATCACTGTCCGCGACCGAAAGCTCCTCGTCCAGACCCGCCCAGTCAGCACCGCCACCTAGACCGCCGCCGTCTTCACCTGCTCCGCCGTCCGTTTACCCCCTCCACCGGCCGCGTCGTCTTCTTTTCCCTCTGAACGAACGAAGAGGCCTTGGATCTGATTTGATTTGTTCAGACCCCTCTCCCTTCCTACTTATTTTGTTGGGTTAGTTTGGTTCAGACCCGAACTGAACCAAGTGGGTTCAGATCTGTTTATTTTGGGTTCATGTGTATTGATCTGCATTCGTGATTGCTCGATTCTGTTGACCATTGGTGTATGGCTGATCCTGATGCTGATGACGGAATTGTGCTAGATCCAGAGACCGGCATCGCAGATTTACAGCTCTCCCCGTGGTTTGATTATCAGTCATTCGAGAGCGTGCCCGAGTACGTTGAGCGTGTGACTCATCAGATCGTTGACAGCGTAGAGAGTAGCTTGGGAATCAGTTCGTGGCATCGGCGTTTCCATCCAGATACACCGCTCCATCCGAATTACGTCGCCCTCGGTGGAGAACTTCCTCCCCTCATTTTTGGCGTGTACGAACCAGCACCAGAGGAGCCTCCCGTCGAACCAGTTCAACCCGACGAAGGTTCAACTTTCTTTCGCCCAATTATTTACGGAACTGCTATTGCTTGCATGTTGCTATCAATATTATTATCGATCGTATTTGTGCTGTATTCAGTTTGATTAAGTGAGCGAGCGAATCTGTTGCTAAGTATTTTTACTTATCCAAATATTACAATTTGAACTGTATTGAGAGAACGAATCATTACATTTATTTTCTGGATTATTTACAAAAGATTTGAACTTAGTACATTGCAACTTTTGCTTAAAATCCATCGAAAGCTACACTTTATTCTTGAGCTTCCTGCCTAGATCGATCGCTGATTTGGCGAAGCATTGTTGTCGTTAATCTTCATACCTGCATCACATTGTTTCGCATCATGTACTTTTCAGCATACCATAGTTCAGGTACTTAACTATTTTATTTGCAGATATGGGCACCATTTATTTGACCAGGGGAATTTTGAGGAGGCTATGGAGCAATTTTTTGCTTCGCAAGTGGATATCACCTATGTTCTATCTTTGTACTCTTCTATTATTCTTCCTAAGGGCCTATCTGTTACTGAACCAGACAACCTAGGAGATTTTACAGATGCTACATCTCTCTCCAGAGTTTCATCTGATGCTTCAGATGAGATGGAATCACCACGATCACAGCTCCATGGATCTGATGATAGATCTGTGTTGGAGGACAAGAAAATGAGTCACAATGCCCTTACAGCCCTTGGCAAGTATTTACAAAAGAAAAGATATAGTGTAATAGAAAGAGCTACTACTGAGGTAACTGAGGAGGTTGTCTCGGATGCTGTGCAGAGCAGCATGATGTCAGACCAATATAGGGCAAGGATAACAAACAAGGTACGTCTGATTTTCTTTTAGTACCTGAGGCAATTTGCTTCTGCGTAACCAGGGACAGTCAATTCCTAGCGTACATCTATATGCCAAGTCTCTTCAAACAACAAGTTAAATATGATCCTGACAACTCTGGAAAAAAAAAAAAAACACCCAAACCAACCAAAAAAAACTGCCCGCACACACACACATGAAATTATATGCTCACTATGTCTTTTCATGCTCATACCTTGTTCTTTTTTACTATCTTTCATTGAGTATTTATACCTGCACATTTTCATTAGCAGACATGCCTGCCTTTGGAGAAGCACGTTCACATTATATGGTCCTCCTATCTCTGTCACCCTTTCATTCACCCATTCTATAAACTGAAAAGATTGAGTATTCACATAATTCATTATGTTAGCATTGGCCATGATATTTTCTATGCAAATATTCAGTCTAGGCTTGCACCCAGTAGTTGGAGCATTTTTACGGAAGACCACATGTAAATATTTGTCTTTCATTTGTTAATGGTTTCCAGTGCAGTTGAAAGACGTTATCTCCAGTTGCATGGATTGTTTGTTCGGCATGTTAATCATTTTTAGTTCCTGATTGATGATCCTTTTTCCTGTACTCTTGTTAAACCACTATTCTATGGAAGGGATATAGTTCTTCATTTATGTATTAAATTGTTACAAGTTTACTGGGGTTTCGATTATTTTGGTGGTCTAACCAGCATCTATGTGCTTATCTAGAAACGTGGTCAGACCCATATTAGTTCAGTTGCCCGGGAGGTGGCGACTATACTCGACACTGCACTTATTCAAGCTCTACTTCATACAGGGCAGTCTTCAGCAGCATTAGAGTTATTGAAAGGTCCCAACTATTGTGATTTAAAAATTTGTGAAGAGTTCCTAAGGGAGAGAAAGTTATACTCAGTCTTGTTGGAGCTTTACAGGTGCAATGAAATGCATCAAGAAGCTCTCAAACTCCTTCATCAGCTTGTTGAAAAATCAAATTCTGGTACCACAGGTTCTGAACTCACTCAAAAGTTCAAGCCACATATGATTATTGATTATCTCAAGGTAAGCCATTTAGTTATTTGTTTATTTAAATAATTAACTGCCATGATTCTGCTTATTGCTGCCCGAACATTAAATGCCTATGCTTTAGCATAAATTTCATATTCGTGCTGCTTCTCAGTGAAGATTTCGATAATTTTTAGCCCGTGTTTGATGAAAATTCAGTAGATTAATTTTCCTGTAAATTTTTTTTTTGGTTGATACTATGAGCCTGTCTCCAGCTTATTGCAACTAGTGATACTGTGCTTCATGAGTTGCGGTAACGCAGCACACATGGTGTTTATCCTGTCACTTCTAGGTATACTGTTGAATCCTGAGATACAGCTGTATGCCAGTATGCGAACTTGTGTACATGAACCAATCTTAGGTGATATGCTTCTTTCTTTGGATAATGTGTCAAAGTCTTTACAGAATGCTTGCGAGTTCCAACTGACAAGACTCGACTATTGTGTGCTCAAATTTGGCCCATCACAATTTGCACAGCAGCGAGACCTTTTTGTAGCTTGAATCCACAACTCATGAAGCTAATTATATGAGTTGGTATTAACTAGTGAGTTCAAGCTGCTAGGCTGCTTGAGTTGTGGAAAGACCACTACCTTACTAATGAACAGTGGATCTGCCAGATTTAGTGTGTCTTCTATTATGCATAGCGTAAATCATGCAAGTTATAACTAATCAATCAACTTAAATACCCGTTTCTTTGTGATTCACACGGCAAAGATCATAAGGTTTGTGTACTCATATATGCAACAGTATTATGTTTACCAAATGTGGTCAGCTTGTGTAGGATTGGCAAGTCTCATCTCTTCTTTACTCTATGAGAAGTACATCTTAAGTTAAACAGTGATGAATGCCTCTCGCCAGTTTTCATGTTCCCCCCCTGTTTCCTTGTCTCTAGTAAGTACTTACAATACATTTTTAATATCCGAACAGTCAAAAGGATATAATGCATACATTTGGTTGGTTGTCGTGTTTTTAGTTATTTATGTTAGGCTTTAACATTAATTATTCATTTTACCTGTCTGCATGAATCTGTTATCAATTCGATATTTATTGAGCACCTATTAGCTAAATTGTAATGCAAGCTCCTAATTCATTGTCCATGTTTATCCTGAATCATGATTTTTTAATCAAATAATTTAACTTGTCTATGAGACTATAATGTTATATGATGTCCTTTATTCTTTTGCAGCCTCTTTGCAGGACTGATCCTATGCTTGTTTTAGAATTCTCTACACTTGTACTCCAAAGCTGCCCAACAGAAACTATTGAGCTCTTTCTGTCTGGAAATATTCCGGCAGACTTGGTAAATTCATACTTGAAGCAGCATGCTCCAAGCATGCAGTCTACTTATTTAGAGCTTATGCTTTCAATGAGTGAAAATGGGATCAATACAAATCTTCAAAATGAATTGGTAAAATAAATTCCTTCCTATGGTTATTTTCATGGGCATTCTATTTAAAATGGCCGGGATATTGGATCTTCTATACTTACAAGCCTTTCTGGCTGGCAGGTGCAAATTTACCTTTCGGAAGTAGTTGACTGGTATAAAGATCTCAAAGAACAAAAACAATGGGAAGAAAAAACTCACTCTCCAACACGTAAGAAGTTACTGTCTGCTTTGGAGAGCATTTCAATAAATAATGCAGAAACTCTGTTGAAGCGTCTTCCATCAGATGCTTTCTATGAGGAGCGAGCATTATTGCTTGGCAAGATGAATCAACACCAGCTTGCATTATCTCTCTATGTTCATAAGGTGACATGATCTACAGAATGGAATATTGTTCTCCTATTTTAGTGTTTCAGTTTTTCAGACTTGTTAGAAATTCCATTTATTGGATAGTGCCTGAATACCTGCTTCCATGCAGACTAGCATTCAAATGATTCTCTTTTCTGGGGCAAGATAATTACCCCATGTATTATTATACCACCTTTTTCTATACCACTGTAACTCGTTTAATCATGCAGCTTCACTTGCCTGAACTGGCGCTTGCATACTGCGATCGTGTTTATGAGACTGGACTTCACCAGCCCTCGAGATCTAATGCAAACATATATGTGACTCTTTTACAAATTTACCTTAATCCCCGGTCAACAAACGAAGCTGAGGAGAATATTCTAAATCTGGTACCAATACAGAACTCTAGCAGTGCGAAGGTTAGCTCAAAAGGTAGATGGGGTCGTATCAGTAAAAAGATTGCTGAGATTGAGGGTGCTGATGAGATTCGAATTAGTCCCAGCAGCACTGACAGTGGTCGCAGTGATGGGGATGGAGATGAGATGACTGAAGGAGGAGGTCCTATAATGTTGAAAGAAACACTTGATTTGTTGAGTAAAAAATGGGATAGAATCAATGGTGCTCAGGCCCTCAAACTACTACCGAGAGCTACAAAGGTCCAGGTATAAATTCCTTTCACATAGAGTTGTTAACGTCAGTCTACCAGAATTGATGGGCTATAATTAAAGTATCAGTAATTACGTTCAACAGCTGCGTGCTTTGAGTTTCGCTACAAACTGTTTTAACATATAAATACAAAAGGGAAAGCAATCAGGCACATTTGTTGCTGCTTAATGTGCATGGTTGTAACTGTACCTAGTCAGTTCATGTCTGTTCTTATAAGAATAAAATATGCAGACAACCTTTTATCAATGGAGTTTTATGCTTGCATGGATAGCTAGTCTAGCCAAACAATATATGTATCTGTATCCGTAAATGCAATAAGGAAGCAACCACAAATACAGTAATACCACAATATGTATTGTATCTGTAAATGCAATAAGATAGATTATCTCTCTTGTTTTCTCTTCATTATTGTTTATTTACATATTATTTTCTAAATCTGTACCTTTGGATGTTTCCATATCTCACTGATAGTTATGCATATTATTTGGACTCCTCATTCAGTTACAATTACCTGTTGTATGAGGAGGTTTCTGGATATGGAGACTTTTTTTGTTTGTGAAATTTCCTTTTGACTGAAATTTGAATGGTTTGATCTTATCAGAACTTGATTCAATTTCTTGAGCCTCTCTTAAAAAAATCTAGTGAAGGACGCAGAAATTATTCAGTCATCAAGAGCTTGAGATACACCGAAAATTTACAGGTATGTATAAAACCGAACACTGCCAGAATTCATGGTCAATTGTGAAATTAACATAGCTAGTAGAAAAGACTAAATAAGTAAAGTGCGGGAATGGTTTTCTTCTGATGATTTAACATATGTGCCATTTGCTTTTAGGTTTCACTTATGAGCGATCTTGTACTGTCATTTGTTTTTATCTTGTTTATCAAAAGTATTTTATGTTTAGAGGTGCCCATATCAACTGAGGCAATCTGTCATCTCAACATGGGTTTTCTTGTTATCCAATATTATTGCTCAATCTTCTTTAATTGTAATTTATCTTGTGGAAACAGGTAAAAGAAGAGCTCTATAAGCATCGTCGGACAGTGGTAAAAATCGACGCTGATAGCACATGTTCTCTTTGCAGTAAGAAAATAGGGAGTAGTGTGTTCGCTGTGTATCCTAATGGCAAGAGTCTTGTGCATTTTGTTTGCTTACAAAACATTAACGGCTCCAGGGGGGGCCCAAGAAGGAACCAGCAGTGAGTTTGACTCCCAATAAGATATTCTCCACGACCCGAATTAACTCTGGGGACAGCCAACTCAGTTTCCTTGGCGACAAGTCAACTTTGAACTGCAGAAGTCTATCCCCAATCAAAAGTTCATACATTCTTGAGCTCATCTAATGTGGATCTAGGTGACAGTTATTCTTCCTTCAGATCGCTGGCATCCATTTGGTTATCCATTTCATCATATATGTTGCATTGCTATGAGTTTTGGCAGAGATTTAGATACGACAACCATTTGTCGGTATGATCAATATGTTTTGTTACAAGGTGGCAGAGGCATGCGAGAGTTTCCTGTTATCTGTCAATATGTATAATTCACAGGGCCCTGGAGATGCTTGGAGATGATGACCATGTTGTGTGTGGCGATAGCAGCGTGCATTCATCCCATATTGTTTGATTTGTAAGTATTGTGGTTCTTGAAGGATTGCACAGACAATTTTTTTTATTGAGTGAGACTGTATTTGCCGTGCAGATTTTCCTTGATTATAATCAGATAAAACACGATATTTAAAGATTTTCAATAACAAATTATAGGCGTTGAAAACAACTATGCAGTTAATATTGATCGCTGGCACAAATGAATACGGATTCAGTGAATTATAACGTTGTGCGTCTAGATTATTGGCCTTTGTAACACTTTGAACCTGTATGAATTGTATCCTTAGACGTTCAGCGCATTCTACCGGCGAAGAGAAACCTGCTACGCTGAAATATGTATACATTAGCGAAGGTGAAAGAGAAATCTGCTATGCTGAAATATGTATACATTAGCAGTCTGTGTATCCTCGATGAGAAAAAACATTTTTTTTGTGGGTATCGGTTCTCAACTGTAATTTGAAATGCAGCAGTCATTGTGGTTATAAGCCCCTCCTGGTCCTTCGGCTTTACGTTTGTCCTTGAGTGTAATCAACATTATTATTTTTTTAATTTGTAAATCGCAATGAATTATCTTTCTTCTTCCTACCCTTCTCTTAAAAGAAGAGTCCTCCATACTTACATGACGTTACAGAGCAAATGAAGGTAGGAATTTTTTACCTTTCAGCTACATATTGGACAAGACTTTTTATTCAAAGAAAAGAAAAGAAAAGATAAGATCTGGTATCAATATATGCAAAGATTTATGAACTGTTTGCACACTTTGCATCGTGCAGATGGCTCTCAAGCACACAACATGAACGCACAACCTTAATCTAAAACATTACAAGCATTTCCGGGAAGAAAAATAAGCGAAGCACCATTTTAGTCTAAACCCGTGAAGATATCTAAAACCAAACTTGTTAAAAAGATGAAGTTATGTTAGGACACCCATGAAGTCAAACAGGGATGCAAAATACGTTACAAACCACATATTTTCTGTGAGATTAGCGACGGCAGGAGGAGATACCAAGCCTCCATCAAAGATGAGTGATACAACAAAAAAGAGGAGATCATCCATTCGACATGATGTGCATACAACACAAAAAGATAACCTACAAAAGATGACCTTACTTCTTAGTTGATCTACCAACTCTTATTCATTCGGTGTTCAAGTACTCGCTTTACCAAAACGAACAGCACAAGTTTGTACTCTAGAGTACACCAAAAGACCAGTAGTTTCTCTATCCACAAAATAGGCATACTCCAAATCACATTATCCCTCGTCGCATTAGCATCATTTTCAGCAGTCTCGGCCTACAAAAAAATCAACTCAAGAAAGGGAAAAGAACAATTAGCATCTCTTTTTAAACACCACCATATTATAGAAAAAGAAGAATGAATCATCAAAACAAAAGAACCAAAAGTTATATTTAGCTTCAACTGAAAAATTACCAAACAAAGATAACTTCTGGTTGTAATTCAGATTAGTCAAGAGTATAAAAGCCTTATAAGAGGATAGGTATAGCTGACGGCTCTTAATTAATATGCCATATAATAAGAATGCGAGAGAGAAACTAGATTATCCATTGGTCAAGCCAAAGTGGGATTTGGTAGGCAAATAAATCAGTAGAGAAGTATATCAAGGATGGCCCTCTTTAAAAGAATACGGTAAAATAAACAAACGAACATCTAAAAAGGCTTGGTGGCGAACATCATATAAACACAGAAATTGTGAGATTTATTCACGAATACACTAAATTTCAGATAATGGGTCTCTCGTCTCATACCTGGCACTGCACATTTATCCTCTTTTCTTTTGTTCTCCAGAGGCGTCTCGAAGGTTGATTATTATATCTGAAGCGGGAAAACACTCCATTTATTGCTAAGAAAGGCAACAAAATTCAAGCATAGCTTATTAAGGCTGCGACTTGTTATTTTATTTTGATATTAACAAATACAGACGAAGTTATCAGGAAATTCCATTCTTTCGTAGTAAGAAGTCCATTCCAAGGACAGCTTGCCACAGAGGTTAGGACATTTGCCCAGTCCTAAGGCAAAAAACCAACTGAACCCATTGTAGTATCAATATATTTAGTACAACAATAGTCCAGTCTTTTTTGCCATAGACTTTTAACTCTCTTTTTGTTAACCAACGTGATGAATGTTTAGGTACGAACATTATGATTAGTAGCTAATTTAAACTCGGTAAAGTCTGGTTATCTTGATATAAACTTATACAAACTAGAAAGACCTGCGGCCTCTCTTAGATTTGTTTCTGTTGTATCTTCCCTGATCTCTTTACTGGTCTCTTTCACGGAACTATCGGTAGCTTTGCTCTTGAAAGATTCTTTTCTAGCATATTCAGTTTTCTCCGTCTTCCTCCTACTGAGCTTTGACTTCTTGTCACCAGGGTTCAAAACAATTGTCGAATCAATCGTTGCAGGATTTGCAACAACTGCAACTGCTCTAAAACCATCTGCCTCTGGTTTTTCACCTTCATGTTGAATATGATCACCTTTCAAACATTCTCTTGGCTTCTCCTTAGTGACTTTTTCTATCTTTTCCAATCTTTTCTTATTATGTTTTGACTTCTTGTCATTAAGATTGGAAGGAACTGTAGCTTCAACTGCAATAGAAGCTTCAAGAGCTTGGGTGTTTGACGCTTTATACTGAGTTTCATGTGTGTTAGGCTGAGCATTAGCCATTTCACTTTTTTTCTTTCTTCTTTGCAGCGAACTTTTGGCACTAATCTTGGAGGGATCTTCATTACCCAGATTTTCTTCTTCTATGCCAATAGCAGAGAATTTATTTAATTTATCATGGCTGTTTTCAGATGCTCCATTCTCTCCATTTACTGGTTTTCCAGAAGAATCAAGAGCATCATGTTTGCTTGAATTTTCTTGTCCAGCTCTAGCCTTTTTCCTGCTGTGGTGTAAGTTTGCTGGAAGATCCTTATCTACTTGTACATGATTATCTTCAGCAGCTTGCTTTCCTAGTGCAGCATCAGCTTTATTCAGTGATTTATCAACTAGGTCATCTCGGGCAGCCTCATCACTTTCTGATACATGCTTTTTCTTTTTCCTTTTCTTCTTAACATCGACATGAGTTTGCTGCACCGAGTCAACATGAGATATTTTACTAGGAAATCCTTCTGAAGATTTCTGATTAGGAACAACCTCTTTCAATTGAGGCAACTCTTCACTTTGATTACCACTTTCAACTTCGTGTCCTGTAACTTGATCCTCGTCTGGCTCCTTAAGAGACTGATCCTTTTCCTTCTTACGCTTTTTCTTTTCAACCGGCAATGGGTCATTTTGTGAGACACCACTCCTTTTCCTAGATTTTTCTTTGCTAGTAGCAACAGCAGGGACATCCTCCTGAGCTCCAGCAGCAACGTCTCCATGATTATCCTCCTTTTCATCCATTTTTGTTTTGTTATCAGCGACATTTTTATCATCTGATACAAGCTTATCATTGGAAGAAACAACTAAGTCTTGAGTTTGAAGATTGCTGGCATTCAGCAATAATGAATTGCCTTGGCGTGCTTGCTTTTGTAGAACAGAATCCGGCAATGTTTCAGTTCCATGAATATTGGAGATTGAAGTTTGAATGAGATCCTTCTGAGTTGACAACCCATTCATGGCACACTCTTGATCCTTGACCCCCGCGGTAATTGGTATAAGATTAACATGAAGAAACCAATCACCCTTGATCCCACTGAAAGCACTTTTAACAAGCATTGCATCAGACATATTATAGAAAGATTCCCTCCGCCTGACCTGAAGCAATTCAATGCAAATTATCTCTTACACAACAACGTAAGCAATTCATCACTAATCAGAATACCATAAACATGGAGATATTGAGCAAGAGATATACGTAGTAAGTGTATCGAAACTTCCAGATTTCATGAAGAGTTGTGGATATACACCTGAACTGAATTGACGGAAACTTTGCCAATTTCTGGAAAGCAAAGAGCATGCTCACTCCTTATCTTTCCTGCTCAATAGAAACAAAAAAGAATGTGATTGATTACAAATTTGCATGTCCTATTTCCCTGTGGAAATAATTGCTATAAAATGAGACCCTAACATTTAAACTTGTGTAGCATTAACTTTCTTATCTTAAAAATCATGCTCAACAGAAATAAACTCACATGTTTCTGTTTCATAATAAAGATAAGTCTTATTGCATGTTCTAATTACAAAGAAATACTAGCTATATTGACACCGGCACGATACAGTTGAGATGGATGAATGAAATTGAGGATATACGCTGACGACTCTAAGGATACAAATGTCATCGCCTTAGAATAAATGACAGATAAAGGGATTTGCCGCCTAATATAGAGGTACTACAAATATCACCAATCTATATACTATATTAAATCTCTTACCATTAAACTGCCACTTATGCATTTTTCCCACTATGTAATTACTTTCCCAAAAAAAATCTGTAAAAACTGTTCCCCTTGAAAATAACGAAACCCTAACCATTGAGTTGTCATCTCCAAACAAAAGTCCTCATTACATAATCCCCGCTTCGTCTTCTGATCTCACCGTTTTCTGATACGTTCTTAACATCGAAACTTTTCTGCTGTGCTTTGATCTTCGGATTTCCTTGAAAACTAAATCGTCGTTCTTTAGGAACTCAACTTTATCCTTTATTACTCACCTCCCATGAAATCCTCTTCTCCAGCGCCTCATCTTCCCCTCATAAATTAAAACTATCTATATCCTCTCCCCTGCATTAAATCTTCTTCTTTTCCATCTCCTTCTTCCACACCATCTGCCTATATTACCTGGTCCACTCTACCGTTGCGCTCTCCCCATCCTCATCTCCTAACACCCATTATTCCTGCACCTCTTGTATTTATGGCCTCCCCCGCTTCCGCCTCAACCAGTCTTCGAAATGATAGTTTATCTTGTGATTAATTCTAAGAATGTCTTAATAGTACTTAGTAAAGTCTACTTCTCTTTCTTTGCTTTTTATTTAACTACACCGTTATAAGGAACCCTAATATTTCATGGCTATTCAATATTTATCAGTTGGTAATATATTTACACTGCATAATTATTATGAAACAACATGTGGATTATTTTCTTACAATTTATTGGTGGAATTTGATAAGTAATTCTATTAATATGCAGTAATAAACCCTACATTTCCCAAAGGGGTTTCTTTAAGATATTTCCATTTTGACAATTCAGATCAAGATTAGAGCAGTTTTAACAAACAGTGAGTTGCATGACATGCCAATTATTGTATTCATTTATTTTCTACACATGCATTTTTGTCCTGTAATTGGTATATAGCATATTCAATTATCATTTATCATATCTTACTACAAAAGTTAGCACTTCGACTCAAGAGGATAACTTCTCCATGTGTAAAGCTATCAAAATTCACAATGGGACAATTGGATAAATTATTTCTGCTTCTACTGTATCAATTATTTTATAAAATTTCTACTTTTACCTTTTGTTATATGATATTATCTCATTAAGTTTTATTTAAGCTATCCTTTTGTCAATTTAGCACAATATCCACTAGAGGGCTCTATCTTTCAGTCTCCAATACTACGACTATTCAACTGATCTTGGTATTACTTGACAATTCTTCTGATTGTTTTTATTTCAATTGTAATTTAGTACATCTTTATTATGCATGCTTTGTTTAACATTTGATGACTTTCTTTATATATAAGATTGAACTTTATTGCTAATCTCAAACAAATTGTTGGGGTTACTATAAAAGTAGTACTGGAGGAAACTGTAAAATATTATAGAGAATGAATTAATCTTTGAAAGTTATGATTGGTTGTGGACAAGAGTATTCTTCAACCAATGTATTACACATCATCGAATTGAAAAATGGTAGTTCTGAAAAAAGATTGCACCTTAACGTTGCATGTTACTTTTTTCTCCCTTTCATACTGCTAATATAATTTGTCAGGTCAATAAAGAAGTTCGTGACAAGGTTCTGGTGCTAGCTAGAGCAAGAAGATATTTCCATGCCTTCTACAAAAGAATGAGTGGGGCTATTCAATATATTTCAGATTTTCAGTAGTCCTATCTTTCTAGATGGATGTATTTCATTCATGGGTTTTCCTTTTATCTATAATTTATCAAATTCGTACTCTCTTCTTTGCAGTTCTAAAGCCGTCCCGCAGTTGGTGATCTCTTGACATAGGAAGATTAAAAGGTCTGTCAAAATGCACGTGAATTAATATTAGATGTATGTGGTTTTGATCGGAATGTCAGCCCTTTCTGCACTTTCAGTATCTGTAGCTTTATTGCCTCTTTTGAGTTTTTATAATTTGTAGGCCCACTGTGTTTCAATGAGATATCGATGCTCTAGAATTTAGAGTCTTTTGATATGTTGATTCTCTGTGATTTAATTTAGTGCCTTTTGATTAGTTGATTTCTTCGTGATTTTCTTAGACAATAAGCCTAATTGATTTCATTCGATGAGGATTTCTGCATCTGTTTCTTAAAGTGATGATCTTTGTATTTGAATGTTAATGCTATCAATAATTGTTTTAGTTGCTGACACGGATAAATTTGCTGACACGGATAAATTAAGCGTTCAATGCTGTGAACTTGAATCCAAAGTTAGGAATGGTCGTGTGTACAATTATTAGATAGCTATCTTTTTCCTTTATTCAAGATCTAAACTTTCTTTGACAACAAACTTGAAGAATTCATTTTTCCCATAATTGAATTAGATTGTATCGAGTGAGGACAGATACAGAAGATCCTCTTTTTCTTTCGTGTTTTCACATGGACAAGAGGTATATTCATAATTTTGTGTTGTCTGATAGTTAACATCTCACTTTTCGATAGAAAAGTGTTTTAATAAATTTTAAATAAGATTATCAAAAAGTGCTGTAGGTTTAAATTTTGAGGCGACATTTAAAGATGACAGGTTCAACGAGTACAAATAAAAAGTTTCAAATGTTACAAACTACTGATATTTAAATTCTTTAATTGATTTATGAGAAATGAAAGATAGAGACGAGTAAAAGGATTTCCGGGTATCTTGGACAACTAGATAAAGAAATATATTTGTTTGTAAGGAATTTTCTTGAGATGACTAAATATTATAAGCCTTCTATACGTAAATGTTAGATTAATAGCTATTTGCCAACCATCGATCAGATAAGGTACTCACTATTTATAAAGCTACTAGGAGTAGCATTCTCATTATATGATCGTAGCATCAGTATCGTAGCTATTTACGTATATAAGTACTTTCATCAACTCTAACTTATATTGTATTGTAGCTATTATTGGATCTGGAGTCATTCTTAGTACTAGGATACAAGACTTCCCTTCTAAGTCATGTTTCCAAGTTTTACACTTTAATATGCAGAATAATTTTCAATTTTCAACTTCGAGTGAAATTTTCCTATTTCCTTTGATATTGTTTGTACCTTTATTGTTGTAAATATGCTGGTATGCCGCGCCATGAGGTTTGACATTATTTATTGAAAGGAATTGAGGTGCTCCCTTTATTATGCAATCTTAAAAAGAAATGGTTGTGATCCATTACTCGCAACATAGTTATTGTGACAGGTCTTAGCTATTTTCAATTCTGTTGCATCTATAAAAGACCGATATTGTAATATAACTACATTTACAGATTTGATCTTTTTTGTGTAAGTTTCAAACAGTTCCTTGATCTTTAATTTCTTAAAGACTAAAGAGTTTGAGTACTTTCAAAGTTGGATGAAAATGTGTGTGTGTGTTTTTTTTTTTTTTTTGGTCAAATTTATTTGGTTTTATTGGAGAATGGGGGGGATGGGATTGAGAGCAGTGTTACTTTTTTGGATTATATGGAATTTTTGTGTTTAGAGATCGAAAATTGTAATATGCATAGAGGAACTTTAGTGATGGGATATGGTAAATTATGTATCTTTTTTTGGAAATTTTTATTTAGACCTTTTGGTTGCGTTTTAAAGAGAGGAGGGTCAATGATGATGCTCATTAAGCTAATTAGAATTTGTAGTTAATTAACAAGCTCCTAAAGATATTTTTGTTGTCATCGTTAGAATTTTGAGTACTTCGAAGTTTGGATGATAAATTGGATTTCAGTTGATCTATATCTCAAATTATCAAATGATTTTCTTTGCCTTAAAAGGGGTCTGCTGATTAGTTTCGTTTTCTTCAACACTTTCATATATAGTTTCACTTACATAGTACATTTCTGCTATTCTCTTTTAGGAAACTATTTTTTATACAAGTCCGTTTGTCGCACGGGTCTGAAGCTAGCGTAGAGATAAAATAAAAGATAAACACTCACTCACACTTAATGGAATCTACCAAAAAGAAATGTAGAGCAAGTATGTAAGCGCAATGCCTAGTTTTATAATGAAATCAACAACTTCTACAGCCTTCACTAGATCACTTGGATATTTATAACCCTGAAACACCCCTTCAAGCATGAGAAATTCAGAATTCCTTGAAGATAATTATAAATGGCATTGAGGTGCTAGAGACATATTTGATTAACTTCATACCCATTTGAAAGCTTAAAAGGCTTCTAGAGAATGCGAAAGTGGGATCTGGTCTCTCTTCGCCCCGCATCATAAATGAATGATTCTCAACGAAATCAAAATTTTTCCTGATTCCAAAGAAAATAGTAACTAAACGACACTCAACTGAACCACAGGAACAAGTCTGCATGACCAAATAATTGCTGCCATTTTCTGCCTCTCAACTCAAAAAAAAAAGAGTCCTCAAATGAACTTCAAAAAGACCAAAATGCTATTCAATAGAGAGGAGAGAGAGTAAGAGACCCAATTTGAGACACGAGCACCAAATCAAGATGGAATTTTGAACACAACCCACTCGAGAGAATGCCACAGCGAAGGAATCGGAGAGAACCCACATGATTTTTGAACGAATTACAGCAAAAAAAAAAACCCAGCGGTTTAGAGCCCTAACCTTTGAGATCGGCGACCGTGTCGTCGGGAGAAAAGGCAACGGCGAGATGGGTATCGAGGTTGGTGTCGACGAAGATGGAGCGAAGGGTGTCCCCTTCCGCCATTGGGGGTGGAGGTTGGGGTTCGATACTGTTTTTTTTTTCTTTTTTTTTTTCTTTTTTTAACTTCGATTTCTGTTGCTGATTTAATTTTGGGTTTATGAGATAATAATATATACACGTGGAGGGAGTCACAGAGCACGAGACTCGAGGAGGTGTTTATCGTTTGGAGTCAGTAATTACAGTGTACTTCTGCTACTATGTTCATTTGTCACTCGCATTGAACGCCTTTAAAATGTTGGGAAATTTTCACAACACCCCCTCTCAAGGTTGATTGGTGTCAAAGGACCCGTCCTTAACTTTCAAAATGTCACAATATCTCCCATAAGTTCTATGCAAACCCCCCAAACTAACGATCTTGCCACTAACTTTCAATCTAACTGAAGACGCCTTTTGTGAAGCCTCCTGAGCGTGGCGTTTCTGAGATAACCTCCTTATTTCAAAATGCCACAAAATCACCTTTAAATTTTGTCCGAAAGCCCCCCAGACTAATTCGTGGGGTTTTTTCAAAAAATTTGTTTTAAATTAAAGGGGATTTTTTTTTCTTTCTTTCTGTTTTGTGAACTCCAAAACTTGAGGGGGTTTAGTGACATTTTGCAAGTTAAGGGTGTTGTCAGAAAAACGCCCAATCTTAAGTGAGGTTTTGTGAAATTTACCTTTAAAATTTTAGAACAGTTTTTAATTTGGGTTTTTTTTTCATGTAAACAACCTTTTAAACAGGTTGATTTATGAAAATCCCCTTCAAAGTTCAATTCATACACAATCCACCTTTAATAAGGGTTTTTCTAATTGTAATCAACTATCTTGACATATTTTCTGATAAAATTTTAACTAAAATTTCTAAAATGCGCTTAAAAACATGACAGACACGTGGAATGTTTTTTTAAGAAACATTGTGTCTGAAATGTGTTTATCTTAAGAATATTTTGGAAATTTTAGTGTAAATTTTATTAGAAAATAGGTTAAGACGGTTGATTGCAATTATAATTGCCGTTAAATACTCAAAGTTTAAAACTTGTACTTTTTAAAACTTGCACTTAAATACCCTAAAGTTTCTAAAAACGACAAGTAATGATCATAAAGTTTTTGTAACATGTGCTTCAATACACTCAGTTAAGGAAAGTTGATGATACTTAAGTGCAAGTTTTAAAAACTTAAGGCCCCGTTTGGCAAAGGGTTAATGAAGAGGGGTTAAAGAGAATGATTAATGTACTTAGCCCATTTGATAATCCGAAAGACTAAATTATTAACCCGTTAAATAAGTTTTATTTTAGCCCTTATGATCAGTTTTAGTGTTTGGGAATAACAATGATTTTGACTATTTTCTTTATAATTAGAAGGGTTAACTCTTATTCCATCTAAATAGGAGTATTAGTAAACCCCTCATTTTGAGGGGTTAACTCATTTTAACCCCTCTAGAGGGGTTAACTTAACCCTTCTATATTTTTTATGTTTGGCAAATTATGAAGGGTTAACTCACTTGAACCCTTATATAGATTTGTTGTGTTTGGCAGGTTAAGAAAGGGTTAAGTCTCCTTAACCCCTCACTTAACCCTTTGCCAAACGGTACCTAAGGGTATTGAAGTGCTACCAAAAAAATTGTCTAGACTTATAAGTGCAAGTTTTGAAAACTTTTAAGATATATAAGTGCTATAAAATACAAATGAGGATACATAAGTGCAATTTAAGTAGGAGAACTATAGGGTATTCAAATGCAATTAAGCAAATTCTCAAACTAACCCTCTATCCTCTCATAAATGGCGTGGATCCTTTTATTACCTTAAAGAGTTATGATAAAATTTGTGCTAGAAAACTTTCATCCAATATCAAAAAATAATTCTATGATAACAATTTACGTTGTTATACGTCGAGAAGTTCCATTCTTGCAAAATATTATTTATTTATCCTTTCATATTTTGTCACCTCCCGGTAATGAAATTTAACAAAATTATGAAGAAATTCTGCCCTCGATGAATGAAGGGATAATTCCAAATATAAAGATGGAAGATTTATTTTCGTTTAAAAACGCAAATTGGGATTTTTATCAGTCAGAGATCTTTTCTACAAGGGTTTGAAAAGCCCACTACAGTTCTAGCCCACAAGATATTTATTCTACTGAAGACACGTGTCCTCACACTCTCCATGAAAGCCCAAGAATATCTTATCGGCCTTTTCCGTTATTCAAGCCCACCGGTATAAGTATCTAAACTCGCCCAAAAACAAACCGTCCAAAACGAAGAAGAAATTTTCAATATTTCTCTCGGTTATTGAAACTTTTTTTTGAGTGAAATGGATCATCCTATTGCGGGAAGGAGAGTGAGCAGAATCATGGGTCACGTGACTTCCCTAGATGAAGAGCTCTCTTCACCCAATTCACATCTCTTACCAATGGTATTAATCTTTCTAATGCATACTTTTTATTTTTATTTTTTTTTTATCTAATCTAGTTTGGCATAATTTGCACAAAATTATGATAGATTCTTGAAGATATAATGCTATTCTTGAATTAAAATTGTGCCTTTGTTTTATTATCTATATAGAAATGTAGTAAAAATAAAGTTTGCAATGGTGGGTATTTGAATTGCCTTCCATTAAACAAGGAGATTGCATATATAGATCGGCTATTGCTCAGATATGAATTCAATACTATGTTTTCTATATATAAATTTATTTCGGAGCTTAGTTACAAAAAAAACCACACCTGGAGCTATAGTAAAAGACAAGATGCAGTTGTATCTATTAATTTCACTGCATAGGTACTTTTTTGCAACTGAAGTTAATCAGTGAGTTATGTTTTACAAAACTATTCGAAGACAAATTAATACACAAGTCACTTTTACAATGCGAATGCTTATTTATCGTAGAAAATAAAATATTTACAATTGCAACATTAGTTACCGTTGAAATTATAATTGCAGTTGATCTTGCTATTTTCATGAATTAAATGGTTCCGTAGTGCTGATATGCCATGTTTCGTTAAAGATAAATAAGCAATTAGATTGTCTAAACTTACTACGCAACCTCTTAGCTTGATCATCAGTTATTCTTGTATTTTAACATCAGTTATTCTTGTATTTTAACAAATTAGATTGTCTAAACTTACTACGCAACCTCTTAGCTTGATCATCATCACTTTTTAGAAATAAATTTTTAGTATTTAATTAGCCATTCACACTCTCTTATTGTATTGTATTCTCTTTCTTTTCTCAATTTTATTAAAGTTTAATATCTTTGTCTTCCTCAGAATTGCAGTAGCACTCTAAACTCTTTTGTCCCACGACGTGATAACACACTGTTTTTTGCACGCCAAGGTTCTGCTTCTCAAGCTTATTTCATGCAACAAGCTTCCATTAAACAGGTAATTGAATTTCTATATAACATTAATCATTTTAAAGCCATGTACATATCTCAAACTTTCCATTCTCCTGATTTTTGTTGCAGAACTCAAATCGCAGTAATTGTCCCTCAAAGAATGTAAATTCTTGTTATCAGTATTCAGAAAAACCGTCATTCTCTAGACAGGCTCAAACAAGTTGCAATTTACCAACTTTAAAAGATGGAAATTGTGCGAAAGAGAATTCTGCACCAATTTCAACTGAAGCTCCTAAATTTGCTAGACCTTACACTGAAACGATCGATAAATCACAGTTCTGTTCCAATCGAACAAATCAGGTTTCTCTCTGTAAAGGTACAGTCATGTATATATTCAATATATAATCTAGAATCTATATTCCCTGGTTGCGATTTTTTCACTAAATATTTGATTTTCAGACATGGAGTGGTCTCCTCGGATTGATGTTGCTGAATCTGGTAACGGTTATGTGGTGACAGTTGAACTTCCAGGTGTTAGTATAATGGATATCAGAGTGGAGATAGATGACCAGAAGTATGTTTACTTTCTTGAAATATTTTTATTATATTAAATGGTTATTTCCAACTTTTTCATTGGCATATGAACTCCTCTTTTGGATGTATGTGTTATAAAAATATATTTAATCCATTTTCTGCAAGTGTATTGCTTATATTTGGATGTCAAAAGTTCACGTGTGAATTTTTTTTTCTTAGGTCTGATACTGATTCTTGTAGACCTTAAATTTTTAAAATTTTCATATCCTTGGCTAGTGTGTGAAATATGACTTTGATACCGCAATTGGATCTCCTCATTCATGTTGCAAAATATTATGAGAGATGATATATTGAAATGTTTCTTGGAAGTTGCAACCGGGAGCCAGTATTTTAGACTTTTCTAAGAACATCCTGGGTTGATTGTTTCCCACCTTATATTCATGAATCGTTGCTGTAACATTTTGTATTTTCCAATAGAATCTTATCTGACATGTAATATTATCTTCAAAGATGTTATATACATTACAAATATACCTCAAATGAAAAATTTCCTACTTTAAACTAACTGTTTTTTCTCCTTTTTTTGATAGATTAATTGTGACGGGTAAGCGTGCAAGGCAACAGTTGGGAGTGGCAAATGGAACTGACAATCAAACCGTAAAATATCATCGCAGAGAGATTTTGCAAGGCCCATATCGAGTTTTTTGGCCACTGCCAAACAATGTGAACAAGGATGCAGTCTCAGCTGATTTTATGTAAGTAATTATCGAAGTTGTTAGTTTTCAGTAAATATTTCATTCTATTTCCTTAGATCTTAACCATTACCCAATTATAGACAATGAGAAAAAAATGATGTTCGTTGCTTTTTTTTGGTTGCTTGCAGCAATGGGTTTCTGAAAATAAATCTCCCGAAACTCTGAGAAGTTCAAGCGCCACATGTGAGTCTGCTCATAGTCTGGTATGTAATACATCAGTGCCTTTATGTGCACATATGTAGTGTATATCCAATTAAAATATAGATTTGCAATTCAACAATTACTTATGAACAGAGGTATATCAAGAATGCAAATAAAAAATGTACCTGAAGTTTGTAAAGTAGAAGCAAGATATTATGTACACTTTGCAGCAGATAAATATTGTTATTTTGAGACTGTTGCAGATTTTACGGACAAAGTATTGGTCAAAATGGTGTATGTAGATGTCGTTCTTTGTCTCATTGTACTCCTCGAAGATAACAAGAAGCAACATTCATACATTTTCAGTGAGAACACATACAAATAAACAAAATATATGTCGTATTTGTATCAACAGAAAGAACAAACAGATGCAGATCTCAGCACGACTAATGTCTTTTTCTTCTATTCAAACCATATCTTTTAGGTGCAAACTTTTATCTCAAACTTGTTGTAAACAAACTTTTATCTTTTAGGATTCACAAAAGTTTAAAAAGTTTAAACAACAGTGTTTATTTATTTTGTTATATTGCTATCCTTAAATTTTAGGAGCATCCAGCTTTTGATTCTTTCATCTTATAAAAATCGATGTCAAACAAAAATCTTGATGAAGGGATCTCTTGATATTCTTTACCCAGAACAACTGTCAAATCCTCTGCTGAACTTAAATTAATAGGCCAACCAAACACATCACATGAACTCAAACCGCTCATAAATCAAACCCTCTCCTCTCTCTTATTTAAACAACACCCACCTCTCATATCCTTCTGTGGAAGAATCAGAAAAACCAGATTTTCTGGCATAAGTCGACTCATGCACAAGGGTAAGTCGACTTATGGTAAGTCGACTTGACAGTGTGCACAAGTCGACTTACGATCTGCGTTGGAATTGTGAATTTTTTCTCTGCCAAGTCGACTTATCAGGTTTGATAAGTCGACTTACGAAGTGTGCTCCAGTTGCTGTTTTTCTCTCTGCCAAGTCGACTTATGCTCTCTGTTAAGTCGACTTACGATGGGATTTTTGCATAATCAGGTTTCCTGTTTGCAGTCTGATTGGGTTTTTGTTTTGATATAAATAGGGAAACGATTTGTTAGGGTTTTTTTATCAGAGATTGAGGAATCTTTTGAGCATTGTGAGAGGGAGATATTGTGAGCAATGTGAGATCTTTGGTTGAGGGTTAGTTTGAGAGTTTTGTGTGATTGTAACCCTTTGTACTCTCCTTGAATTAGTGAAATCTCCCCATCCTCTCCCCGTGGACGTAGGCAAGTTGCCGAACCACGTATATCTCTGTGTTTGGTTTGATTTGTCGTATTTGGCTTGATTTGTGCAAGAGTGTGGCTTTCTTCTTCCGCGATCTCAAGTTCGTTGTGTGTGCGTGCAACGCTTCCGCATAGGCGCGCGACAAATGGTATCAGAGCTCAGATTCAGATCTGGGGTTTTGGATTAGGTGGAGGAAGATTCAATTGGAATCTTTGTTCTTGGAGTTCTAGGCTTTGGTGGAGTTAGAATTTGAAGTTGTCGTTGAAGATCTCGCTTTCCTCGTGTGGTTAGGAGTTCTATTTGGAATCCAATCTAGGGTTCAGTTGGGTAATTTCTTATTCTTTTCAAAGTTTGGATCTTTCTCTACAATTTGGAATTTGTGATTATGGGTGAAGTAATTGGTAAAAGCAGCAAGATGACAGACACAGTTCAAGTGGGTTTTCAGAACACTAAGATTAGTGTAGTGAAATATGACGGCAAGATCAATTTTGGTTTGTGGATGAGCGACGTACAGGATGCGCTCAATGCTCAAAATCTGGAGGAGACCATCATGGTCGATGTGAGGCCACCTAAATATGAAGAGGCGATATGAGAAAAGATGAATCGAAATGCTTGCGGGGTGATCAGGTCTTGTTTGGAACAGGAGCTGAAATACAATGTAATTGGGGTGACGTCTGCAATGAAGATGTGGGAGATTCTCAACAACAAGTATCTCACGAAGAGTGTTGAGAACAGGTTGCACTTGCTGCGAAGATTATTCAGATTTCAGATGTCCAGAGGCACCTCGCTTGGACTTGGCGAACGTGGATGAGAAGATTACAGATGAGTACAAGGCTATTATTCTTTTGGGCTCCTTACCGGATGAGGAGTATGATACCTTCGTGCTTACGTTGCTGAACGGGAGATCTTCTATCACTTATAGTGAAGTGACTAACGCATTGACGAACTATGATTTGAGGAGGAAGGATAAGGAGACTTCCCGCGCTAGTACTTCAGGAGAGGCCTTGTCGGTGAGAGGTAGAAGCTCATATCAGAAAGGTGGAAATAGAGGGAGGTCAAAGTTAAGAGGTCGTCACCAGCTTAGAAAGAACCAATGTGCATTCTGCAAGGAGCAGGGACATTGGAAGAGAGACTGCCCGAAAGTCAAAGAAAAGGAGAATAGCAAGAATAAGGGCCCGAAGGCCAATGAGGTGAATGTTGCGAAAGGCGATGATTCCGATGATTCGAGCTTTTCTCTTTTGATTACTCCGGAGGTGAACCATTTAGATGCATCGGAGTGGATGCTTGATTCTGGCGCTACTTATCATATGACTCCTAGGTGAGATTGGTTCTCATCATTTGAGAGACTCGATGGGGGTGTTGTTGTCATGGGAAATGATCAATCCTGTGGCGTTTGTGGGATAGGTACCGTACGGATTAGGATGCACGATGGAGTAGTCCGTGAGTTGAAGGAGGTGAGATTTGTTCCTCAACTGAAGAAAAATCTTATCTCAGTTGGAGCTTTGGAGGCGAAGGGATTCAATGTGACTTTTGAAAACGCTGTAGCGAAGGTTACTAAGGGATCATTGGTGGTGATGAGGGGAGTCCGCAATCGGAATTTGTATTATCTGAAGGGGAGCACCGAGATTGGCCAGGTTGCTTCGGCTATTTCAGAGGCGGATATGAGCAGACTTTGGCATTACATGTTAGGGCACACAGGAGAGAAGTCACTGCAGGATTTGTGCAAGCAGGGGCTATTGAAGGGAGCCAAGAGTGGAAAGATTGAGTTCTGTGAGCACTGTGTTCTTGGCAAGAAGACGAAGGTGAAGTTCGGGACGGCCATTCATAGGACGATGGGCATCTTGGACTATGTGCATACAGATGTTTGGGGTCCCACCAAGACGGCATCACTTGGTGGTCGACATTGGTTCGTCACATTTGTTGATGACTATTCTAGGCGTTGTTGTGTGTACACCATGAAGCATAAGAGTGAAGTCCTAGATTTGTTTGTGGAGTGGAAGAAGAGATTGGAACTACAGACTGGGAGAAAGATCAAGACGTTACTATCCGACAACAGCGGCGAGTATACTTCAGACCCCTTTCAGCAGCTATATCGAGACGAGGGCATAGAGAGGCACTTCACAGTTAGTCATACACCGCAGCAGAATGGGGTGGCAGAGAGATTGAATCGGTCTTTGCTGGAGAAGATTCGATGTTTATTGGCGCATAGTGGTTTGGAGAAGATCTTTTGGGCTGAGGCACTTTCTTATGCGAGCCACCTCATTAACAGGCTGCCTTCATCTGCGATTGAGGGGAAGACCCCTATGGAGATGTGGTCGGGAGAGACAGCACATGACTATGACCAGCTTAAGGTATTTGGTTGCCCTGCATATTATCATGTTAGAACTGATAAGTTGGAACCTCGAGCTAGGAAGGCCATATTTGTAGGATTCAAGCGTGGTGTCAAGGGATACAAGTTTTGGGATCCAGTTGATAAGAAGATTGTGCTGAGTAGGGACGTCACATTCGATGAGGCTTCTATCTTGAAGCTTCCCAGCTCTCATCAGGTGGAGAGCGACCCGACGGAGGAGATTTCGCAGGTGGTGGAGATTAATGCAGCTCCACAGAGTCCAAATAGTGCAGTATCCATTAGAGTGGCGACTGAGGTGATGCCAGGCGAGCACGACGGTGATGCGGAGGATACGGGTACTCATGAGCAGGATCAGGGACCGACGGCTCAGGTTCAGGATTCTATTGCGGCACGGAGACAGAGGAGAGACATACGGGTGCCAGCACGGTATGCCAACACAGTTGCATATGCACTTCCGATGGAGAGTATCGATTGAGATGATACCTACTACTTTTAGAGAGGCCGAGCAGAGTTCGGAGGCTGATTCGTGGCAGATGGCTATGCAAGAGGAGATGGAGTCTCTTCACAAGAACGATACATGGGAGCTTGTTGAGCTTCCAAAGGGGCGGAAGGCGATTGGGTGCAAGTGGGTGTACACGAAGAAGGAGGGCATTGAGGGCACTCCAGTGAGGTTCAAGGCTAGGTTGGTTGCGAAGGGCTATGCACAGGAGGAAGGTATTGACTACAATGAGGTTTTCTCTCCGGTGGTGAAGCATTCATCGATTCAGATTTTGCTAGCTTTGGTGGCACAGTATGGTTTGGAGTTAGATCAGTTGGATGTGAAGACACCATTTCTTCATGGTGATCTTGATGAAGAAATATATATGACTCAGCCATTAGGATTCCGAGCTGCAGGGAAAGATAAGTTGGTTTTCAGGTTAAAAAAATCGCTATACGGTTTGAAGCAGTCTCCTCGACAGTGGTATAGGCGATTCGATGGTTTTAAGCTTGGTCATTCGTACACTCGGAGCCAGTTTGATCCTTGCGTGTATTTTCGTAAGTTGAGAGGAGGTGCGTACATTTATTTGTTGCTTTATGTCGATGACATGTTGGTTGCCTCTAGTTCCAGGTCAGCTATAGATGAGTTGAAAGTTCAGCTTTCGAATGAGTTTGAGATGAAGAACTTGGGTGAGGCGAAGCGCATTTTAGGGATGGAGATCGGCAGAGACAAGAAGAAGGGCAGGATTTGTTTAACACAGGTGGCTTATTTGAAGAAGGTTCTACAGCGATTTCATGTTAACATGGATACGAAACCAGTTGGTGTACCGTTGGGAGCCCATTTGAAGCTTTCAGCTGGCCTTTCACCGAAGTCAGTTGAAGACCGTGAGTTGATGTCGAAGACTCTATATGCGAGCGCAGTTGGGAGCTTGATGTACGCGATGGTATGTACGAGGCCAGATTTATCACAGGCAGTGAGCATGGTATCGAGATACATGCACGATCCAGGAGTGGGTCATTGGGATGCCGTGAGATGGATTTTGAGGTACATTCTAGGTACGCTCAATGTTGGTTTGGTTTATGAGAGGGACACTACAGGTGGGCAGCTATGCATTAGCTATGTTGATTCGGATTATGCCG